AGTTCTCAGTCTGACCCAAATTTTAACCAAATAAGAAAATTTTGATCCAAACCTTTTATTCACTTGACAAGGGGAGACTATCCTTATTCCATTTTCCACACTTTGAAAATATCTCTTATCTGTTAATACTTTCTAGCCTATTCATACTTGCGTCACTTGTGTGGCAGAAAGCAATGGTAACCATTGAAATATTAATAATTATAGTAATATAGAATTTTGTTTATAGATGAGAAAAATAATCTGTGGTGAAGTTTGTGCCCAGGGAATCTGTTCTTTTTCAGAATTATTAATATAAAATGTCAAAACAATAGTATTTATATGAACTATGGAATACGAATTGAGAAGAAAAGACTGTTCATTTAATCATGAAGTGGGAGAGGTCAGTAATCAGGTTGTATTCTAAGTTTACCAACACCCTGGGTTTTTGTTTCTACCCCCGCATTTATTTAAGTACGTTTTTGTGCAAAAACAAACAAAGTTGAAGTTGTGGAGCTGGGTGAAGTAGGGTTGACAAGTAGTCGACCAGAGAGAGAGAGAGAGATAGGCAGTGAGAGTGGAAGTGTAATAAGGGAGGAAGTGAACTCAAGTTATTTGCAATATTGGTGCAATACTACCAGTGAAACCACCCCGCCCTTATATCCTGGTAGTGAAATAATTACGGCAACTGCTAAGAACAAAAAGGGTGAACCTGAAAACTACTTCTCTCTTTTCAGAATTATTTACAATATTTGTTTTTTTTTTTTCTGGATTTTATATCATATTCACTACTTTCTTGTAAAAGAAGCATTATTTTTTGTACCAATTTCTTCCTTATATACATATACATAAATTTTTCTTTGGACTCAAATCGACTTGTTCATATTTGGTTTTTCTACTTGGCCCAATTATCACTCCAACAAACTTGCAGGTAGACCAGCTGAATCTTCCCGGATCTACAATATGGCCGGAAAGTGGAACTAAATCGACATTGTGAACCGGAGACTTTGATTGAACCTGTAATACTGGACCAGGACAGGACCAACGGCCGGTCTTGTAGAGTATGTCAATCCAGTGGGGTTAGGATAGTTGTTACACTTGTCTGCTCCTTCCATTGAACCAGAATATATGATTTTTTCTGCTTTATTTGATTATGAGTGAACCAAATGTTTTAAACAATAATTATTTTTTTGCTAAGGATTATTTCATGGTGAATCAATACACAGCTCACTCAATGTTACAGTAAGCTGTAAGTCCATCCTAGAATTCATAAAGATGATATTCCACTGAGATCCATTATCAATTGTTGAGGCTCAGCCTGTCACCTGCTGAGCAAAATCCTTATAAATATAATTAACCTACTAACAAGTAAGCCTCCTTACCTATGTAAATAACTATGCTTACTTTGTGGAAACCATCAAAGATGCTTCATTCTTGCCAACTAGATGGTGAGCTCATACATTGCAACCCTATTCACCAAAGTTCCCCCAGATGATCTTCTATTAGTAGTGTGAAGCAAATTAGAACATGAATTGCAATTCTGACTTTTCTTATGCTCATACACAACCACACAGTAATCCTCTACCTTAAGTAGCTCTTGTACATTGTATTGAGTAAATATTAATATAAAGAAACTTTCAAGTAATAAGACCAAAATTTTTTAGTGTATTTTGCACAAAAGTTTATTTTTGCAATAAATATAAAATAATATAGCAAGTCTGAAGGAAATAAATAAATCTTATGCTGGCTTCAATTAAATAAACTAAAGTTATTCCTAGTGTAAAAATCAAAAATTTGTAAAGTCAACTACAACAGTGAACTACTTGAAACCCAAACCAAAACTAAAATGTGTTGCTCCTTATGGAACAATGAGATTTGAAATAGTTATGACCCTCAGTTGCACCATCTGTTGACCTGAAATATAGAACATCATGTCTTGCTGTGTAGTTATTGCCTTGAAGGGTGTTTCTAATGTTAACCATCTAATGCTAATCAGTAAGCATTCACTGAACAATACTAGATCTTCAATTCATATACAATATTAGGAAAGGGATCATCTATTGTCTACAATACTGGGCGAAACTCATGTGGCAACCTAAACACAAGCCAAAAGGAAAACGTTAACATTAAAAACATTCTTCAAAGCAACAACTACCCTGCAAACCTAATATCAGCTTCCAATGACACAGATAGAAGAGTCAAGAGCAACAATAAAAATTCTGCTATGATCCGTCTGTCATAATTAAGGGGTAAATCTGAAAAGAGTGAGAGGATCTATAAGCCATACAACATTGAGATGATATTCAAAAGCAATTCAAACTTTCAGAGGTATCTGTCTTGAATCAAACCCCTCTTGGAAGTGAACATAACCAAGAATTGTGTGTATTTCATCCCATGAAATCGTGCAAGCAATACAAGTGCAAGACCAATTACCTCCTAAAATTAATGGTATAGAAACATTGAAAGAATATAGTCCTGGAAGAGACACTGAAATCAGGCATGGCTGATCATGTATGGAAGGAAGAGGGTGGTCATTAACTCCTTTGGAATGAAGTTAACATTAATAGAGAACAATACTAGAGTATAAGATAATTGAAAGAATCAAATCATATATTAGGCTCTGACAACCTACTGAGTAGACTTATCATAGAGGTGGATACTACTTGGGAGCCTCTGATTAAAAAAAGAAAGGACACTTAAAAAATTTCACCACCTGAGTAGATACATTAGATTTCAGGTTCCAAAATTATACCACTGGATTGTTTCAGAGTGACATATCTAGTTGTAAGTTCAATCCCTGGGTTGGGTGATGTGGATTCTGGTTCAGTAGAAGAAATAGACAAGCAACACAAATGTAGACAGAAATATCACTCAAAGCATGGAAAACAAAATAGGAACAATAAAGCATTTGGTTTCAACTCCTAAGCAAGTTACGAAGCATAATTAAAGACATCTGAAGAAGGCAAGAGAGTACAACAGCTGAAATGTTATGACTATAACATTATAACAACCAAAATGACTATATTACTCTGAATGGAAAGGCATATAATACATATTCTTATTTGAATAGGGAATATCATGACTGAGAAAGAAGTGGACCATGTTGAGGACAAGATTTGAAATCTTAAAACGTTTGTTCGTTTTGGTATGTTTTGTGTGTTTCTAATATTAAAACTGTTGTAATTAAAGAAATCAAACATTAGTTTTTGATAAACCATCATGTTATGTAGCACTCGATTGCACTATTTACAGTCACTCTAGTAAAAATTATATCTTCATGTAAATAGTCTGTAATTTACTTTAAATAGAATATTATTGCCATATTTATTCATATTGTGTTTATTTTACATAGACACTCAATTATTTAAAAGAATCTTAAGATCGCTAAAATTAATTACTTTCTTAATATTATTTTTTTAAGTCCTTTTTGTGAAATTTATATACAGCAAAATGTTGATTGGAGAATTCACAAATAAAGCAAAAATATTAAAATTGGTTAACTATTTGTCAATAATTTGGACATAAATATTTTTATTTTTTGAGTTTTAATATGCATTTTTCTTCTAATAGAACAGTTTTCCATTTTCTTTAAACTTTTACTATAAAGTTAAGAGATAAAAAATAAAAATCAGTTGTGTTGCCCAAAGATGAAATAATTTTTTGAAGTCATCCATAGTGTTTTAGCTCAAATGAAGTTGTAATCATGAAATTCAGCACCACCTCATCCAAATCATCTAAAAAGAAGAAATACAAATTTTAAATGTATTCAACAATTGACAATATATTTAGTCAAGTAAAGAATCTTGCTTGTATGTTTCCATATATATAAAGTCATCCAAATGCATAAGTGGTCAATGATTTTAAAAGTATTTAGAAAATGTGGAATCCAGAAAACATCCACAGAACTTTTCTGCTTTTAATAATGACCAGATGCTTGAAAACACTTGATCACAAAAGTATAAATAATATTTGTATTCATCAGGACCAAACATTCTCTTTTGTACATAAACAATGAAAGTTAACTAAAAAATTCTTTGTCTTTAATCAGACTTGTATTAATGAAAGATTTACATAAATACATTAACATTTAAAAATCCACATATACAGGACATGCCAGGTATTTGAGTATACATATTTAGAAGTTCATAAATGGAGGACAACCTAATATAGCATTCAAATTTTAATGTTCTCATTTCTTTTTCAAATCTGTCAAGAGCATTAATATGGCATCTTCCACTCTGACACATGTAATGAAAAAGCACACTGTGCTTATGGTACTAGCCACCAACCAAGGCAACTCAGAGATCTTGAAAGTGACCAGGTTATCACTTGTTGCAGATGTGGAAATGGGTAACTTGGAAAACAGAACTTTGTTGTTGTTGTTGTTGTTACTGTTGTGGAGGTTAGTTCCTTCTCGACCTCAGCAAACATAAATCCAAGTGTCAAACAAAGGAGGACATTAAGTAGGGGTAAATAAATGTATGATTTATTTACATATATACAAAGACTGGTAACTTCTATCTGTTGTTGTTGCTAAGGTATCAGGGAGAGAAAATGGTGAAATTAGAAGTGAAATGGACATTGGAGGTGGCCATTGTCATTGGCAATGTCTCTCTCTTAGTGTGTCAGTGTTAACATCATATATTGATCTGTGTAGCATCTCTCTCTCAGTGTGTTAGTGTTAACATCAAATGCTGGTCTGTGTGGGAGGTCTATTTGAATTTGGGTATATACAGTTTTTAATAGGCTTGAAATTAAGATTTTGATTTTTGAACAGGAGCAGCTCTGGCTGGTCATAATATATTACTAATTTTGTTTTGGTTAAAGTAGATGTATGTGTGGAGCTGATGCACAGAAAACATATTTATGCAGTCTGCTTTGGGTCCTCAAGCGGACAACATCTGGTTTGTGCAGAAAATGTATGCAGCACAACAACACAAAGAATAACAGTGGATTTTCTGCTAACCCCATCAAGGTATCTATAATGATGACTATCACCTTCACATGTGCTGGTCTTGAATGTCATGATCAATGAGGGCAATGTCATACCACCTGACTTCATATCACTCAACTGCAGAGCCTCAGGATCAATGTTACTGCTTACATTAAGGTATAAGATATGATGGTGAATTCCTGGATCAAGGAGGTAGATGTATATGTTCCAGTAAGATTCTGCTCCTTCTCACATGTTTCAAAGTACCCAGGAGTGATAGAATCCCTTGGTTTACTATGTTTTTGGGTACTAACAAGGACTTATTGAAGGCCACCATTGTGGATGTGATGGACATCATGAACAATAACCATCTGAGCCAGGCAGGCTTATGGTATTTTTGTAAGCATAGCTTAGATGTGGCACAAGGCTGAAAGTATGGGGATCAAACTTGTAGAGTGTTGTATTTGACTTTGTGCCTCTAACAGAAGTTGAATGTTGGTGGACCACAATAAACAAAATGAAGACTTGAATAGAAAATAAATTGCCAATGTTTATTGATGCAGGTGTGAAAGATGTGAAAGCATAGAAAATAGTCAACCTCAAGTCAGCCTGACATTGAGTTAGGGTGGCCGAATCTCCATTTTGTTGGGATGGCTACCAAACAAGTCCAAACTCAATGGTTGGGAAGTGAACAATCGTCTCCTTTCTGGAAGTGGGATCATAAAATTCACACGTGACTGTAAACTCTTTCTGGTTTCCTTTTGCATTATGGGAAAATTAAATTCTTTATTTTTTTATTATTATTTTATTTTCCCACAAACTCACTATTCAGTTGAAATTGATCTAGCGAGAGGAACTTGCTAACCACATCAAAGTGCTCTCCAGGCACGCTTATGAAGCAGCATTGAGGATGTCCACAATGTTGAAAAAGGCAATGTTATTAAATAACCTTTTCATTCTGTTTTCCTAAGTTTTAAGTGTGTACTTTATTCTTAAAAGTAGTGATATTTTTCTATTGAATATCGTTGTTTCTCAGTTACCTAGCACACCATATATACAAATTCTAAATAAGAAATAACATGATTTTAAAATTAACAAGCAGGAAATGGTCATAGTTGTGTAAGATGTTATGTTTTTAAAATCACACTGAAAAAATTTAATATTGAGAATATGGTTTCCTCAAATGCTAATTATATAATTTTTTGAAGACAAAATCAAGTGTCAATTTAGGTACAAAATAAAAAAGGAACATTGATGAGAGAAAAAAACTATTTAAATCAAGTTAGTTTCTGAACACTTCTGTATTAGCAGGTATGGCTTAATAATGGTATAGTTTTTTAACACAGCATCAAAAAAATCTCAAGTTTTGTACTAGATTATGGTTTTTTGTAACTGTTTTTACAGTTTGTTCTCTCAAAAATTTATTTTCGTTTTTTATGTTTAAATGTGTAGTTTTAAAGTATCAAGTTAAGGTAGTAGAGGACAAAACTTTATAAAATATAAGTGAGAAAGAATGGAGAATAATCAAAGGTAAGATTTGTCTGACTTCACTATCAATTTTACACTGGGCACGTTCTCATGGTGTTAGCAGTGGGTAGCATGCTTGTCTAGCTAGACCAATTACGACTGAAAAGTGAGTTCGATCCTCACTGTATGCCTCCAAAACTTTCGGCCTTGTGCCATATCTAAGCTACGCTTAGAAAATCACTTATCAATTTTGGACTTTTGTTCACGTATCCCTGGTGGAGGAATATGTCGCTCTCGTAATCCCTTGTTAGTTTTTTGGTATAAAAAAATTATTTTCACTTTTTTGATAATAATAATAATAATAATTTTACTACAATATAATAGTAATACCAATTCACTATGCTCATTTATGTGTAAGAAGTGAATTAATTTTTTAAAACTTAAAGTAATCAAATTACTTGGTATCGTGTTTTTCGGTAAAGTTAAGAATTTTTTTTAAGTTCCTAACGTATAATTTTATTCTATGTTTCTTTTTTTATTTTGAAAACATATAATTCATATTTAAATCACATGAATATAATTGGAACGGAAAAATCATCAGCTAAAATGAGAATGTGAAAATAAAAAAAAAAAAGAATAAACTATAGATATAGTAGGTAGGAGCAGTGACGAGGTTCACTTTCCGGAATTAATAAGTGAACAAATTTACCGGAAGTGGACACACGCAGTGGAAAGGAGGTTAGTTAAACTCAAATAACGTTTTCTTGAGGAGAAATCCCCTCCACTTTTGTTTTTGTTTGGAGACAGCAGTAAGAATTTTTTTTAAAATTGAGTCGACATTAGAAAAAATTGAAGGTGAGTAGTAAAATTACATGTATGATTAATTTTAACAGCATTCTTTTATTTACATTTTTATACCAGAAATAAGGGAAATGTATTTAAGATTTTTGTTTTCCTTTTTTTTCTTTTGTCCAAGACGTTTATTTAGTGATTTTTGAGAAAGCCGTCATGTGTAATTAAGAAAGTGAACATTGGTAAACTTACAAAAGCAGAAGATGGAGGCTCGTTTTAAATAAAAATTCGCCAATTTTTAAAAAAAAATGTTTGTTTCGACTTTATCATCTCTACACAATTCTCAGTACGACACATGTCTTTATTTATTTATTTAATTTTTTTTTAATTCTCCAAAACTGCAAATTAAAAAAAAAAAAAAATGTAGGAGGTTTTAAATTAAAGGTGGGGGGTGATTTTATTTATTTTATGTCTGGGGGCGAAAGGTAGATAAGAAAAGTAATCGAATGTCGAGTTTGTGAAGTAAAAAAAAAATTAAGCGAAATAAAAAAAAAATTAAATAGTCCGTAGTATAATGTTATTTTGCAATATTTTTTACGTTTTAATTATTTGAAAAAAAATTTAAAATTAAAAGCCTTTTAATTTAAACTTGATCTTATTTTTAGTATTAAAAAATAAAATGTCTTTTTTACTTTTTAAAATTTTCAAAAAACAAAACTGCAGGGGGTCTCTTTATTTTTGTAAAGGTGGCTAACTGAAATGTACATTTATTTATTTAATTTGGCGGTATTAAAATTTTTTTAAAAATTTTGACTTGCTTAAATTAAAATTAAAATATTTAATTTTCCATCTCTCAATTCGCACCTGCTAAATTTTGTGGTATTGTCGAAACCATAGGGGAACAAATATTGACTTTTTTTTTTTTTTTTTACCCGACTATGGTTTTTAAAATGTTAGTGCTTTGAGTTAATGGAGATTGGAGTTTGTTACGTACTATTGTAGCTGCTTTTTATTTCATGAGCATTTTTACAATGTAAGAAGACATTTTTATTTTATTTCTTTAAAATTTCATCATCAAACTTTAATAAATTCTTTCAAACAAACTGAAAAGTTTAAGTAAAAAAAAGAAAGAAATTTATACAATAAATGATTGTAATCACACTTTGTAAAAAAAAAAAAAATATTGGTTTTTAATAAATGAATTAATTAAAAAAAAAAAAAATGATTTTTCTGATTTCTGTGCGCGCTAAAACATTTACCCCCACGCACTTTTGACAGGAAGCGATATGTGGCAAAATTATTTAAAATTTGTAAAAATGTTAATTAATTTAAATCGTTGTAATTTTTTTTTTTTTTTGTAATTACAAAATTGGAGAAAACCAGTGTAAATTGTGATTTGTGTTCACTAAACTCTGGGATATTTGTGTTTGAAAAACTAAAGTGTAACTGTAAATAAATAAACTGTGTGTGTGTGTGTGTGTTTTAATTTCAAACTATATATTTCCAATAACCAAAATATTTCAAAAAAAATTTAAATTGGAGATTTTTTTGTCTTGCTCTAAAAAAAAAAAAAAAAATGGTTGATTATCCACCCCCACCCTTTTTTTTTTTTTTTTTTTTTTTTTTTTTCTCTTTCATTGTAGTGTAATTCTCTTTATTCAAATTTTTTTTTTTTTTTTTTTTTTTTTTAATACTTTTCTGAAACTTTATTCGAGGAATAGGGTAAATTTCTATTTTAACACCCGCGCTAAATATCCCTTAAAATTTTCCCAAATCGTCAAATTCCGTGTAAATGTACATGCTGAACTCGAATTAACAATTAAATCATGAAGAAACCTACCGTTTTGGAGTTAACGACAAGAAAAAATTGGACTTCTTGTTGGTAATTCTTCCCCCATTACCGCCATCAGAATACTTGATTCAATGCCGAGTACTTCCGCTGGCGGAAGAAAAATTTTGGCCTATTTATTTTTTACTTTACAGACTTTCGTTGCAGAAAATCACTACGCACTACCGCAAACAAATGTAATGTGGGGTGAGGCTTTCTTTCTGTGTAGAAAAGGGGACAAATTAAAAAAAAAAAAAAAATTAAATAATACAATCAACCCTTCTACTTTACCATGTTTGTCCATTAATTTGTTTTATTTTCAAATTTAAAATATAAAAAAATGTTTTATTTTTATTGTTTAATTTGTTTTTTTTTGTCATTGCTAAATATTATCATTTTAAATAAAAAAAAAAATAAGATAAACCTTTTCGTTTACATTAAAAATAAAACAAACAATAATTAATGTGCAAAGTTTGTATGAACTTTGAAAAGAGCATGATTATTTACAAAATAAAAAATACTCCTTCCTAGCATTTTTTATTTTGTAAATAAAAAATCATGCTCTTTCCAAAGTTTGCACATTAATTATCATTTCTTTTTCAGCAATTTTTTTTTTATTTTGTAGATAATCATGCTCTTTAGAAAGTTTGCATGCACAAACTTTGTAAAGAGCATTTTCAAAGTTCATGCATTTTATTTTGTAAATATTCATTCTCTTTACAATTATCTACAAAATAAAATTACAAAATAAAAAAAAAATGATAGGAACTAAATAATTAATGTGCAAAGTTTGGTCATTAATTATTTCCTTTCTAGCATTTTATTTTGTAAATATTCATTCTCTTTACAAAGTCTGCACATTAATTGTTAAAAAAACACCACTTGTCATCGCTTTATGATGTAACTTAAATGCAGAGTAATTTTAAACGAGTAAATTCAGTTAAGAGCAGTAAAAAGGCTCTTAATTAAACCTCCGCACGCTAAATGTTCAGCAGTGAATGTAGTAAAACAACGCCAGTAATGTCCGACAGCTGAACGCGACCAAGTTCAAACTTTTATTGTTGATAACTCCAAAACTGTAGGTTTCTTCATAATTTAATTGTTAATTCAAGTTCAGCATGTACATTTACATGGAATTATGATGATTTGGGAACATTTTAAGAGATATTTAGCGTGGGTGTTAAAAAGCATATTTACCAGAAATTCTTCCAAAAATTAAATAATTGTTGAATTTTAATTGCGTTCAATACTTATTCACAAATGACTTAAATTATTTTTTTTTTTTTTTTTTTTTTTTTTTTTTAAACTTGTTTTAAGTCTTCATAGAACATTAGATCTGTCATCAGACTGTAAATACATCAAATCAGCTACTGTTGAGTTAAAAAATGCTTTCTGCGATATTTTAAACTTAAAGTAAATAATGTTTCATATCGGATTTACTTTAATATTCCTCAAAGTTTCAGAAAATTATATTTTAGTTTTGCAAGATTTTTAAAATAGAGTACTAATTTGTGTTTAAGTGTCTCAAAAATGGATGACTTTTTTGATGTTATTGAAAATTGGAAAAAAATAAAAATCTATTCCAATCAATATAATTTCTGTTTGAAATACACCAGAGTATTTTGCTTAGTGGAAACAGTAAATTTAATCCTTTAGCTTTCTATTAAAGTAGGTACCTCCATGAGAGCTAGTAAAATAACAAATTTCTAGCACTTTTTTTTTTTTTTTTGTATGACAGGCATTAATTTGGAAAATCTTGCAAAAATAAAAATAATTGTCGGATGTTAATGAAACTTTCAAATGAAATGGAAAAAAAAAATTTAACAACTAATTTTATGAAAACTCCAGAAATTGTCGCATTGAGTTTAGTGATTATATTAGTTAAAAGCACAAGGCTTTGGAGGGAAGCAAATCATGTATTTTTTTTTTTTTTTTTTTTTTTTTTTAATTGGAAACCTGAAAGTTAGCATTGAATTGTAACATACAAAATAAAACAGATATTATTTAATTTCAAATGCTTTTATGAATATGGACAATGTTTTCTGAAAGCAAAAATTTCTTTGAAAAATAAATTTTAAATACAATTGTTATTTCTTTAATTATAATAGATTTAATATTTTAATTCTTTTAAAAATATTGGTGTTTGATGTGTACTCATCATTTCCATTTAATAAATGAAAACAATTCTTGTAAAAATTCATTATTCATCTAAAAAAAAGTTTTTCGTAGCACAATGTCCATGTTTATGAAAACAATTAAAAGCTTTTCTAACTAAATGTCTTAGTTTTATTGCATTTTTTATTTTACATTTCAGAGCAGATTTTTGGTAACTGGTGTTTGTTTTACAAAAAATATTGATGATTTAAATTCTCCCAGTTTTGCTTTTAACTAATATAAAGTAAAGATGTTAAAAAAAAAAAAAAATTCTAAAATCATTTGAATAAACCATGAAAATTCAAAAAAATTTTTTTTTTCCTCAAGAATTTCTAAATTCATGTTTTTCACTGCAAAAAAATGTTAAAATTTCTTGTACTAATTTTTGCAATCCCACCCTTAAATTGATGCAAGTTTTTTTTTTTAACAAAAATTTAAAGTTTTCTAAAAAGGATTTAAAAAAAAAAAAAAAAAATTATATAATTAATAAAAAAATTGTTTTTTCCACTTAATAACATAGATTTTGATTATAAAACTGTTTTTTATCAAGTTTTGATCATTTTTTTTTTTTTTTTTTTTTTTTTTTTTAATTAGAATAATTTATAAACTTTAATTTTTTTAAATTTTGTATTTTGTCAAGTGATATTGTTAAATTAAGACGATTTACTGATCATAAATGGAAAAGCTCACTACAGTTCAATGAAATAATCCCCCCCACCCAATATTTTAAAAAGAATTTTTAATTTTGTGTGTATAAACACGTCAATTTTTGTAAATATGGGAGCTGTCTCCCCAGGCAATAACTCTCTTTGGACAACTACCAAGATCCTGGACTTTTTTTTTTTTAAACCCTGATCCCATGTGGGATCAAACTTTCTACTTTAAATACATTCCCCTAGAGTAGGTATTCATATCATTTTTATGTAGATACTTCCAAAAATTCATTAGAGTTCTCATGAAGAAAAAAAAAAATGTCCAAATCTTTAAGAACAAAGAATTTTTTAAAATGTATTTACTAATTATAAGTTAAAAAGTTCATTACAATTCAGTGGCCTCCAGTATTTTAAAATAATGTGTGTCTGTGTAAGCTTGTTGATTTTTGTAACTAGATATCGAATTGCTTAAAATATTTTCTTAAATTTGTAAAATTACTGGGTGGTTTTAAAAAAAAAAATTATATAAAAAAGGGTGTTCACATACTAAAGTATTTTTTCAGTTCTGTCCACCCTTACTTAAATTTGTCAATGTGGACAAATTTATACATTTTACTGATTAAAGAGAAAAAGCAAAAATGATTCCAATAAATTTAAATTCAATTATGAAGTACACCAGAGTCTTTTACTTACTGGAAATATTAATCTAATTTATCATGGAATTAAAACTAAAATTAGTTTTTGAAAATCATTTTAAGTTTTGATTGACTTTTTAAAAATTTTATACACCACACCTTTTTGCTATCAAAATGCATGAAGAATCCCAAGAATATTGAAATAAAACAATGTTGACATTGAAATCTAACTTTTGTGATTGAATGTTAAATTTTAGCATCCTCTAAAGTCTAGCCATTAGAATTTAACATGTTTTTCAGACCCAACTAGCTTTTAATATCAGCAATAAAATCTTAAACCATAAAAGTGTTTACTTTTTTTTTTTTTTTTTTTTTTTTTTTTGATTCCTTATTTTATTGCAGTTAAAACCTAAATTAAACTTCAAACAACATATTTTGTTGTTATATATAAGTTTATTGTTAATAACCAGACCAATTTTTCGTCACACATTTTAACTGATCAACTGTTTGTTTACTTTAATGTGATGTCATTAATATTTCTCTCTGGAAGCATAGTGTTAGGTGAGTGTAAAGTATTGTTTTATTTATTTTGAATACTACAATACAAAATCTAATGTACATTTTTTTTTTTTTTTTTTTTTTTTTTTTAATATTTGTGCTAGAACTTTCGCATTAAATTTTCTTTTTGAATTATTTCAGAATTATCTCGGCTTGTAATGGGTCGGAAAAAATCTGAGTTTTCTTCAGATAACCCTTCAAACCAGTCTATAGATGAAGAGCTGTCTACAACTGAGGAACTTGATGATAATGCCATGGAGACAACCATAGTAAAGACAGAAGATGTTGATGTAAGAGTATCAACTGAAGAAGTTGATGAGGGTAAAAGTGATGCACCAATGGTGGTCCTTCCAAAAAAAAGAGGACGGAAGCCTAAACACTTTCACAAAATTGCAAAGAAACACGTAGTGGATCAGATGGGTCATGGTGAAATTGTTGTCAAGAGAAAAAGGGGACGGCCAAGGAAATATGGCATTCCTAATGGTACCAACCAGGTTCCCATGTCAACTAGAGAACCTATCCCAAGAATATTATTAAATACCTTTCAGCAGGATCTTCCTCGGAGACGACGTGGACGTCCTCGGAAATACCCACTAGTATTAACTACTTATGACAATACTGTTGCTAACACCAATGCCAACAGCAATAATGATGATGATGATGATAATAATGGTGCTTAATTTTCTTGTTCCTTTTACTTTGCGCTTGCATGCGTAGTCTATGGTATATCTATATCAAATAACCTAAAAACAGAAAAAATCCATTTTAGTATTTTATTAATAGACTTTAGTATTTTGTTAATAGACTTTAGTATTTTGTTAATAGACTTTAGTATTTTGTTAATAGACTTTAGTATTTTGTTAATAGACTTTAGTATTTTGTTAATAGACTTTAGTATTTTTGTTAATAGACTTTTTATTTTGTTAATAGACTTTAGTATTTTGTTAATAGACTTTAGTATTTTGTTAATAGACTTTAGTATTTTGTTAATAGACTTTAGTATTTTGTTAATAGACTTTAGTATTTTGTTAATAGACTTTAGTATTTTGTTAATAGACTTTAGTATTTTGTTAATAGACTTTAGTATTTTGTATCAAAGATTGAGAACTAGTTCACTTCCGCATAAGTGCTGATAATAACCAAAATAATTAATGACATTGCTTTTCAAATTGAATTTTATGTCAGCCATTCCAAATTTGATAAATGTTAGAAAAAGAATTTGTTTGCAGCAAAATATCATTACCTTCGCAATTCCTCTCATTAACAACTTGCTTTACACAATCTACTGAAATGTTGGTAGTAAATTAATTTTAGGCTGCAAAGTATTTAAGATGATATTAATATCTTTAAAATGTAAGACCCACAAAAATCGATTCTTTTTAATTCATGTTTTTAATTTACAGAATCCCGCTTAGGATCACAAGTTGATAGACTGGCTTCTCTTGTTGATCGTTTGGAAAACAGAGTATGTCTTTTTATTGTCTTTTACTTGATATAAATGTATTCAATCACTTTTAATTTCTATGATTTTTGTCAAGAATGTAATGACTTTAATATGTGAAAAACTTGTATTCCAATAGTCATCTGTTGGTTCAAAATGAAAATATTTATCATTTTCTAATGAAATTGATAGTTCATTTCAACTTTAAATACACTTTAAATTTTGACTCCTCCTAAAATTCTAAGAACTTTTATATCTTGTTTTTTTGGTTTGACATGAATGACAGTTGCAAAAAGTGTAGAACTCTCCAGACTGTTGTAAATATCATTCATAGATCATTTTAGAATATCAAGCTATTATAATTGAAAGTTGTGCATAATGATTTCTTTTCAATTCCAATTATACAAGGTGGGTGCTGAAAAATTGTCAGCCCAACCAAAAAGGGATTACAAAAAATTCTGTTTGGGCATTTGGTCAGATTTTGGTAAGTGGATCAGGCCAGTAACCTTTCAGCATCCACTTGTACATAAACAAAATGAGGTGAATGATCCCAACATTAATGGTACATAGTTTTACAAATACTTGCAGATTAATCTTGATGGCTTAATTGATGAAGACACAGATATAGAATCAGAACAAGAGGTTGATAAACAGGTTTGTTGTTTCTGTAAACTATATCTTGAATTTTTTTTTTTTCAAAACTGATAATTGGAATTTATATTTTTAATTTTTATTTATCTATATTCATGTCACTCTTATCTGTTCTCATAAATTTAGCCTAAAGTGGCAATATAATTTTTGATGTTACCAGTTCAGATTGGCCACTTTAAATATTTAGAATTTAATATTTTCTTTAAGTATTGCAATCAATACTGAAGTAATTTAATATATTGTCAACAGTTGCTCAAAATCATGACAGTATTTTTATTTTCAAGTTACTGTTTGTAATGAATATATGAAAAATATGATTTTTCAGTAACAAGGTTTATAGATTCTTTAAAGAAAATTTAACTTTAACAAAAAAAATAAATGAAAGTACAAAATCTAAATTATTTAAAGCAATGAATAAAACTTGTATTATATAACAATTTTCAAAGACTTGTAATAAATGAAATGTCAATTTTAATTATAGATTTTTCTTCTCCAAAGAAATTTTAATGTGAAATTGGATGTAAAGCAGGATTTTAAAGCAATTGTTAAGTCTTACCTGGAAGATCTTGGAGCAGTACAAGGATGTTTAATGTAAGTTCATTGAAGATTTTAAATTTCACATGCTTATCCTCTTGTGTTTAATGAATTAGATTAGGTACCTCCACGAGATCGCTAAAAAAAGAGCATAGCATGATGAAAAAGACGCCAAACGACGAAAACAAAATTTTATCGTCTAAATGTTTGTTATTATTAAGAGGAAAGGTCAAAGTATTTTGGTATTTTTTCCATTTTTTTTAATCGTTCCTAGCACGTCCGAAATTTTCGTTAAAAATCTAGTTTTTTTTTTTTGAGTCAGCAAAATTGACCATTTTTTTCCATTTTAAAAAAAAAAAAAAAAAAAACTGGAAATCTGACTTTGAAATTTTTTTAAATATCAATTATCATTTTTTCAAAACTTATTTTAAGAAAATCAGAAATTATGTTTATTTAAAATATTTTGAACCAAACTTAACTTAGCTTTTGTGCCAAAAAGATGTAATTTGAAAATAAAACAAAGCAGGTCATAAACTTTCGCGTCTCTTGACATGTGATGAATGATATATTTACGAATTCCATGAGGCTAATTTGTTCTACGGAAGGAGAAAAGTGAAATAATTTACGTGAACAAATTATTTACCCCGTTATTTTTAACGAAAACTTTCAGCGGTCAAATTTTTTTTTTTTTTTTTTTTACTTAGCTTTCACCTTTACGTTTATGATGCTTTATGGGAAAGAAATTAAAATAAAACTGTTAAGAGTGACATTAAATTTCATATTTCTTAAGAAATAAATCTAATTAATTTATAGGTACCTTTCTTATGAAATTTTATCAGAATTGTACATAAAATACTATAATTTTATGTACATTTATTACATTCTACTGCTATTTGTATTTACATTCATTTTATTATTAATTTTGATATTTCATTTATGGAAAAATGTCGTAACTGAGATTAATATAAAATAAGATCATATAAATTTCATAAGATGATACTGATACTTGTAGGTACCATTCTCAGTTGAAATTGAAAAATCAAATTAACTTCTCCACACGTGTTTTTCGTAAAAGTAAAGGCCTTAACAGCAGAGAACAATGCTTAACTCAAATAACGCAACTTAATTATATTCTGGTTGGTCTTCCGTATTTTATAATTACAGCTCGATTATAAGCACAAAATTACATTTCTTAATTACTGGGGATCTTCTGATTAGTCAAAATGATACAATTTACAACGCGCTAAAAAAAAAGATCTATCTCATAAGGACACTTATGAAAGCCGATCTTGACTTTTAACTAATTTTATAATATTTTAACAACTTAAATGTAAAATCTATTATAATTAATGAAATAACAAATAATTGTATTAAAATTCACTTTTCATCGAAAAAAATTTTTGCTTTCAGAAAAATTTGTCCATATTCATAAAAACAACTAAAAGCAAATTTGAAATTAAATAATATCTTTGTTTTATTGAGTTTTGTATGTTACATTTCAGAGCTGATTTTCAGGTACTGCGTATCCAATTAAAAACAAAAAAAACATGATTTGCATTCCTCAAAGCCCTGTGCTTTTTTTTAATTATTGTAATCACTAAAACCGGTGCAATCAATTTCTAGCGTTTTTTTCATAAAATTAGTTATGGGGGGGTAATAAATATTTTTAAAAATATTTCTACTTTCATAAAAAAAACATTTATAATAATTTCAATCATCTGTGAATAGTTCCTGAAAGTTTCATTAACATCCGATAATTATTTCTATTTTTGCACGATTTTTCAAATTAATGTGTGTCATACCAAAAAAAAACGTGCTAAAATTGTCTGTTATTTACTAGTTCCATTGATACAAATAGAAAAAAGTTTTTTAATCAAAATTTAGAATGTTCTAAAAAGAAGGAAAATTTTTTTAAAAATAATTAAAAAAAAAAAAAAAAAAAAACTTTGGTCTTTCCTCTTAATAATAACATAAGCATTTAGACAATAAAATTTAGTTTTCGGCAAGGTTGGTGTCTTTTTCATCAAGCTATGATCTTTTTTTAGCGATTTCGTGGAGGTACCTAAATTAGATCCTCAGTTTAAATTTTTTATAAAATGTATGTTCATTTATTGGAACACTTCATTATGAGCACTTGATCACAGCAGCTTAACTAGGTTCAAGAATTTTGTGTGTGCAACATATGCTCAAAACTTTCATTGAATAATTGAGTTATTTTACTGAATGCTTCTCAAGAGCATTTAAATTAAGGAACTCCACAAAAAAAATGTGATACCCGGTGTCTTAATTTCAAGTTGATAGAACAAATTTAATATTTCCAATAAGCAAAATACTTAATTTAAATTAGTTTTTGAAATAGACTGGAAAGTGTGGTTTTTGTTTTTGCTATAATAGGTGATTAGCAGCTTTAGGTCATCATTCATCACAGGTTCTGAAACTTTATTTGAGGAATATTAGCTGATTTAAAGTATAATTAATCTGATTTGAAAAAAATATTATTTACTTTGACAGAAATTCACATTGTCACAGAAATTCATATTTTTTTAACCTAAACAATAGGTATTTTTTTATGTGTTGTCAGCCTGGTGACAGATCTGTTGTTCTAAGGAGACTTTATTTGTAAAGTGTAATTTAGGAAAATGACATGAGCACATTTTTTATATAATTTTTAAGTAATCATTAATCTTAAAAATTTCGGAAAATATTCTCCATAATCTGTTTTATTGAATCTTAGAAATGTTGACTTTAACTTTGCTATAGTCATCACTCTTATTTTCTGATACTTTCATGAATGGTTGCATGTACTTACAAAAATTAGCATGTTCAATCAAACACCTACAAAAAAATTCAAAATTCTTTTAAGATATTGGTGTTTCATGATTTGTATTAAGCTTTTCCATTTATGATTGGTAAATATAGTTTTTACTTAATATCTTAAAGGCTGAAATTAATACATAATTTTAAGATTTAAAACTTCATAAATTTTTCTAAAACTAATATAAATATGAAGAGGGTGGAATTTCAAAAATAATTTCATTTATTTTGTGAATAAGCCCTGAAAATTTAAAATCTGACAATTATTTGGTTTTTGCAAGAATTTCCAAAATGTTTTTAACACCAAAAAACACTAAAAATCCCTATGCTATTTTTTGGCTTATCCTCTGACGCAAAAAAAATAAAAATCTTTGAATGTGCTAGGAAGGGTTAAAAAATTGAATAAAATAATCAAAAAATACTTTGGTCATTCCTCATAATAACAAATATTTTGATATTTTTTTTAATCAAATTTGAGGAGGCCATTTTCCATCATGGTATGCTCTTTTCTAGAAAATGTTTGGCAGTACAAATACAGTAATACTCTTTTCTGTTGAAATAACATTTTTATTTTGAAAAAATTAGTAATGTTTAAATACAAATTCTTCATTCATACTTGGGAAAAGTTGTAACAAATTGACAAACAAATTTAGATAGTATTTTTAATGTATGAAGATAATTCTCAAACATTTTAGTAATCAATTTCAGGCCTTAAAGACTCTGCTCGCTCGGACTGCACTCTTAAATTTACCTGTGGTAACCCTCATTGGTTCTTGGGGAAATGACAAGTTGTGAATACTACCACACCAGCCATGATCTGTTCTCTGTTACAATTGGTGTGGTGTTTACCTGTTGAATTTATTATACGATAGACCCGTGGAAATTCTTTTAGCTAAAAACAAATCACAACACTGTTCTGATAACAACCATTTATTATTAGCAGTCACTACACAATTTCATCTTGCTTCTTTTTGTTTGTAGCTGGAAAAAAAAAAAAGCTAGTCTCCACACAAGGACATCTTTTGTTTCAGGTTCCTGTCATGTATTTTTTTTTCTTTTAAGATTAAGGATGAAGATTTCAATTTTCATTAATTCTAAACTCAATCTTAAACTTTTTTTATACAATGTAATTAACTTTTTTTATCAAAGTTTTATATCTCCATACTCACTTTCATTTATTTAGTATAGCTACTTTGTTCACTCTAACCATGAAATGTTATTCATATGCTACTAATATTTTGGGTAAGGTGTTCACTCTGGCACAGTATTTTGTTAGTCAGATTATTAATGAGTATTTCTATTTTTTCATCCATTTTTTTAACCATGAAATTGGAGATGGTTTCAAGTTGAAACTGAAATGTTTACTTGAAGTAACAGGATATAAGGCAAATGCTGAAGTAATTTAACATTTGTTTCACCCGTTTTATACAAATAGCCATCACACAGTATTATCTTGACTTATCTGGATTACAATTTTATTTTCAGTGCAAGTGTACGATCATACAAAGACACTGGAAGAATTATTTTGTATGAGATTTGGGAATCGGAAGTTGAACAGCTTGAGTGAGTTAAAATAATTTTTTGTAGTCTTATTTAGAAAAGATTATTTATCTCTAAAAATTGATCCTTGTTCAAGATAGTATATTAGTGTGAAAAAATATTGATTTACGCACTTCTAAAATTTAGTATTGCCCCGACCCCCCCCCCCCAGCAAAATAATAAAAATAAAATAGTTTTATTTTTGACATTAACTTAATATTTACAATTTTGTTTCACTATTCAAGCCACTTCATCATTGCATCTGTCCTTAATGAATGTTTTATCTTTCTCAGCAAAGAACTCCTTCAAACTTCCAGCAAACTTTTAAAAATTTTTTCCATCAGAATTATGAATAGACAAAATAAAAACTTGTAATTTTTTTTTTTTTTTTTTTTTTTTCCACATTCATTAACAATTTTTATAGACAAAAATTTGGTTTACTGATGGTATCTCCTCTCAGCAGCGTTTTAGCTTGTCTATTTTCGGAGTTTCCTTTCAAAAATGTTTTACCACAAAATTTTTATTTCAGATACATAGATGATTCTCTACTAATATATTCATAATATTTAGTACTACCTGATCTTATCAAACTAAATAACGTCAAACCCACAAACCTCACCTTTGAACCTGTGTACAACAACACACTACCCTTTCTAGATATGTTACACAGAAACAACAATATACTTCAGTTTGAAGTTAACAGGGAAACTACTAACAAGAATGACCTGGTCAACTTTTACTCCCACGACTAATAAAATCAAATCTGGAATGATCACATGATTCCATTTAAGAGTGTTAATAATATGCAGTCCAACCCCCCCCCAAACCATGCTTACCTAAAGAAGGAATATTTATAGGAAATGCTTTCAAAAATTTCCCATATCCTTATTTCATCCACAATGCCTAAGAGAAAGGCACACAAAATATGACTAAAAAAAAAAAAAAAAATGGAAGCTAACATTAACAACAATACACTATAAAAACAGATACATCTACAAACACCATAACCTCCACTATCCAAAAAAATCTATCCAATCTAAACAACATATAAATAATTACAACCACAGCCCAAACTATTATGAATGTGATCAGGACCAAAAAAATACCCACAACAATAATTACGAGGCCAGTATATACAAAATAAATTGCCAGAAATGTTCCTTACAATATATTGGGGAAACTTGCAGAAATTTAAAATATATCTATGAGAATAAGAGACCTTGTACACAACTAATTCATTAATCATACATAGAAATAAATTCAACCATAACTTTTATCTAGCGTAATGCTATACTTATTAAAAAAAGAAATTAACCTAGAAGGAAAATTCTTGAAAGTGCCACTATTGAATGTTATCAAAATATAAATCTGCACTCTGGATTCTTCCCAATATTTCCTTTCCTGAAAGAATTACTACTTTCTCAAGCCAAGATACATGACCAAAAAAATACCCAAAAATTAAAAGAAAACTGTTAAACCCATAACCTCATGTTATTCAAAATGCATAAATCAATCCCATTCCAAATTAATTTAAATACTTATATAATAACTCACTTCTAGTGGTTATATTATCTTTCTTAGGTTGCTCGTCTGTTAGAAATTCTTCTCTACTGACTCCAATGGACTGGTATTTACCAACCTCCCCATGCCAGGATGTGGCACAAGGCTGTTTTTTTTTTTTTTTTTTTTTTTTTTTTTTTTTTTAATTATATAAAGCATATTCAAGCCCATGGGCTTGGGCAAAATTTCCCCGTAGACCCTGCATAGATGGAGTTGGGTTTATCTACCTCCTCAGACGAGGCTCTGCCTGTAGGCATAGTCTTGTCTGGGTTCCTCTTTGCCTGAAGGCAAAGACTTTGACAAGTCTGTTGCAAGCTGCCTGACTCCAATGGACTGGTATTTACCAACCTCCTCAAAGGCAGGATGTGGCACAAGGCAGTTTTTTTTTTTTTTTTTTTTTTTTTTTTTTTTTTAATGTGGAGGTGAATCTGAGGCCAAAGGCTCAGAAAAAAAAATTCCCCATAGACCCCACGTACATGTGGTTGGATTTGTCTACTTCCACAAATGAAACTCTGACTATGGGCATATCCTTGTTTGGGTTCCTCTCTATAGGTAGAGTTTGACAAGTTGGCCGTGAGTCTGGCAGCAAACTGCCTGACTTGTCCTGGCTCACATTGAGTTCTTTTAAGGCATCTTGTCTAGTTCATTTGTGTTACCAAGAGTCTCATTTCTTCAAATGCCTTCTGACACTTATCAGTCCAGTTCTGCTTTACTTTTCTTTTTTTTTTTTTTTTTTTTTTTTTTTTTTTTTTTTTTTTTAGCAAATTGTTAGTGGAGCTCTCAAATTAGGCATGTAGATTTGATTATAGTTTGCTAGTGCTAGAAATGCTTGTTACATTTGAAGGCATATTCGTAATTGTACTTGTAAACCTGTAATCTTGTATTTTTTTCAAAAACTCTTTTCATATGCCCAATATGTTGTTCCTTAGATACACTTTTAATTAATATATCATCCAGATAAGCAACTGCAAAATCAATCTGCAAGCATAGTATCCCTGGTGTGTTGAAATATAGCTGGATCGACAGTTATCCCGAAGGGAAGTTGGTTGAACTTGTACAATCCCTTGTGTGTATTTATAGTTATTAACTGTGAACATTCTTCAACTTGTATTTGCAATTACACTTTAGAAAGATCTAGATTTTAAAAAATTTTTTCCACTGTTTACATTTGCAAAAATTTTCTCTTGACTTGGTAATGGGCAGTTATGAGATCCTAAACATTTGTTTAACCCTGTCAAAATCAGCACGCACAAATTTTATTTTTTTCTTTACATCTACTGCTGGTGCTACCCATTTTGAATGGTCAGTCTTTTCGATTATACCAAGTGTTTTTTTCAAGTTTGACTAATTCTTCATTGACTTCATCTAGTGCTGCAAACAGTACACTACATTTTAGTTTAAACAATGGTGTTGCCCCACTTTTTCTTTTTTTTTTTATCACTTGAAATTTCACATTAACTTTGGAACAGCAACCAAACTTAACCAACTGAACAACTGGAAAACTTTTTTTTTTTTTTTTTTAAATTCTTCCTTTAAATTTTCACACTTTTGTAAAACTGGTAGCTTGTCCATTACGTTTTTGCAATAAATATTTATAGATAAATCCTGCAACTCAAATAATTCCATCTAGTCAGTACCAAAGAAGTTTGTAATATTTTTTTAACATATAAACCTTGACTTTTAAACATTCGTTGCATAATGAAGCATTACAAGTCATTTCACCAGTAACAAATAATTTCTTACTGACACACCACATGCGATTTTTGAAGTTCTTTTAATATAGGCTTTCTGTTTGCTTTCAATGTGCTTCATTGATTGTGATATCACTACCAGTTTCTGGTTGTCTTTTTACATGCACATTATCAATTTCCTCATACACAAATTACTAACATAACTGAGCTAGTGTAAATAATTTCAAATGTTTGGATATTTTGAATATGTTAGCCATGTCTCCTATCATAGCATTGATTATTCTAGAGTAATATCAAGTTGATTACTGTCAACTCAAGTGTGTTTGCCAAACCATAGATCATCATTCAACAAGTATCTTCACAAACCATTTTTGATTTGGTCATTCACACTATATTACTCCTAAACTGCACTAATCTTATTTTGCTTTTAATTTTTACTTTATTTAAAAACAAAAAAGTGTATATACTGAAAAATGTAAATTTCTCAACCCAATCTTCTATGTTAGATTGAACAAAAAAAAATATGCCAGTTAATTAAAAACAAAAGGACAGACTGAAATGACAGCTGTCACAAGACAAGTGATTTTTTTTTTTTTTTTTCCATTATAAACTAAATGTATCTAATAAGTGTTTTAGGCTACCTAATAGATTTTAATTTTTTTTTCTGACTATATTTCTAGGCCTTCTGATTATTGAAGGCAAAGATATTGGAATAAAATGGACTATAGGTGAAATTAATAACTAATAATTTCTAGCTCTTCAGTTTTATAAATATAAAATAATATAAAACATCTGAATTTGAAAATATCAATTGAGCCACAGCAAAAACTCTATAAATGGTCATATATATATATATATATATATAATATTAAAAAAAAAAACTAAAAGCCTTTTTTTTTTTTTTTTTTTTTTTTTTTTTTTTTTTCTATAACCTTAAAATATATTTTATATGTGAAATGAACTTAGCATGAAAAAAGTGGCTTTACAAACAATTTAATACATGAAATTTGCCAAATGGATTTGATTATTAATCTTCAAAAAAAAGACTGATTTAATCTTTGCTAAGAGTTATATAATGAGTTGTTTATATTTAAAATGCAATCTCCTTTGGTTCTTCTATATTTGTAAGACTTTTCTAGTTTCTTGGTTTTGAAAAGAAATCCATCTCCAAAATTTAGCACAAACATTCAATTTAGCAATTTAAGATGATCGATACAAAGAAAAAGCCTCATGATTAAAATGTAACATTTTGTATGTTGGAAATTGTAATTTTTGTGACACTTCTTTTTCTTTACACAAAAGATTACCTTGAAGTTGAAAGATAAGTCTTTTGATCTATTAACTATATTTTTTTTATACAGGTTTACAAAGGGATCTTCCAGTAAAATATTTGAAAAAGAAGCTTCTGAAATGCTTAAGAGTAATACTGTTGTGAAAAACATGTCCATCCCAGGTAAGGGGAGCCCTGATCTTCAATAATTTGAGTTTTAAATAGCGCTATGTTAGGTTTAGTTTATGACAACTTGAAAAGTGATTTCTTTATCAAAGTAAAATTTTCATGAGAAAGTGTTGTAAAAAAAAAAAAAAAATGCGCATTTCAGGATCAGAAGTTAAGTTGGTCTTGGGTCCATCATTTTGATGTTGAATGCCATGGTGTTAGCAAGAAGGAAGATTTATATGATTATTATTTTTTCAAATTTATTTATCTTTATATAAGTGTCTGACAATCACTGACACAGATTTCTTTCAAGTTAGGTACCATTCATATAAGTGTACCAATGTTATATCTCTAGGTCAAATGGTTTCCAAGATATGACCCTTTCATCCTTTCCAAAAAGGTGAATTTTGGAAAATAGTCACAAAGTTTAACAATCAATATATTAAAGATCAATATTAAAGTACTTGGATAGGTCTAAAAGGTGATCTGTTTTTTTTTTTTATTATTTAAATATCAAATAAGATACTTTGACCTTGAATTTCTCAAAAAAACATCTATTTAATATTTTTTATTAGAATTTGACAACAAATTTGTCTCCTTTATGGCAAGATATATATACAAAATTCTCTGGTCATTTGACTGTGAGTTGTCCAAATTGAACTGCCACTATATGCTACCATTTTCGCATTTCCCAAATAAGTTATATTTAGGAAGCTCTTTGAATGCTGATTAATATTCACATAAGAACTAACATCAAAAACTCTACAGAATTTGTTTGTAATTACATGTTGAAAAATTTGAAAAATAAACCTTATTTGGGGTATGTTTGCATTTTTATTAAACAACAAATAGATTTTCCATGAAAAAAATGATAATGAAAACAATTATTTAAAAAAAAAAAAAAAAAAAAAAAATCATGAATTAATGATAATGTAAAATGATATGAAAAATATATATATATATATATATATATATATATATATATATCTTGCATAATTTGCCTGTCAAATTTATACTATTTAACCTATTCTGAAAATTGGCTTTATATTCCATTTTTTTTTTTCCTACTTAGCAACATGTTAAAAAAAAAAAACCTGGTATCATAGGGGCATTACATTCTGAGAACGCAATAAAAATATTCAAATTTGATGGGTGTATGACTAATTTCTTTGTGTGTGTATATATATATATATATATATATATATAACCACGGAGCCAACCTGTAATTTATATTGCAACTATGCTGAGCAGATCTTAGTTACAGTTTATGAGAGACAGCATGTAATCTCGTGTGATCAACAATCTAAAGGTCAGCACTCTTAAACCCTCACTCCCGATGACTTGTGAATTTGTGCTAGCACAATTATCGATGGCCTACTAATGTTCCAGCTACCCAATTTCACTCACACGACTTGGGTCAACTTGTATGGTTTTTCAGGCACTTTCCAAATGTGCCACATGCTAGAATCGCCCTCTCCAGGCAATATCAGAAAGTCTCCTTCCTGACAAATCGAGCATTCTAACTCAGCCATCACACACACACACACACACACATATATATATATATATATATATATATATATATATATATATATATATATAATGGATTCTCCCATCGGTTTCAATGTATGAGGATCTGACAGCTTATTGATTCAGTTATGAAATTTTGTGTGATAATCTTGGGTGGCATTTAAGACCCGCTAGTGATTTACAAAGGAGGCCACATATGGAGCAAGTGTGAGGATTGTGAGATGTGATCACTGTTAGATTGGCTGACCTTTTTAGATCTTGCTCTTGCTTCTTGAAAATGATTCAGACAAGCAGATTGAAAATTGCTGAGTCCACTAAAACACAATCTCTATTCTACCCGCTCAAGGGTGTTATGTGGTATATTGACTGCTGACAAGTTGTTTTCAGCTTGTCTTAGTATCTTAGCCATGGGCGTCCTACATTCCTGTAGCCCTGATCTAAGTGGCTGTACATTAGGATCTTGGGTATCCTGTCATCAGGCATTCTTAAGACATGACCAGTGCACCATAACTGAGACTGTATGATAAGTCTTGATTCCTCCAATATTACACCTGTTAAACAGGTCTACGTTAGATGTCCTATCTTAAAGCTTAACTCCACAGATTGCATGCAGACAGCTTTTATGGAAAACATCTAGCTGGTGTATATGGTACCTGTATGGAGTCCACGACTCTGAGCCATACAAAAGGATGGCAAGTACACCAGCTCTGTAAACCCGAATTTTCATATCCAGTCGAATACCCTGCTCATCCCACTATATATATAGTGTATGTATGCAAAATCTCCACCTATGATCCTTCATGGAAATCCCCCTCTCTTCATCACATGTGGCCTTACTTTACAAAAACCCTCTTACCTTGCCATCTAACCCTAACATATGTCTCTTGTACATGTATGCACAAGCATACTATGTTACTTCTTTGCTTTTATGTTTTGGGACATAATCTTTGGACATGCAAACATGTTTACTCCTGTCTGTGTAAATAGGTACAGGTGTGTATTCATGTGCTGTATATTGTAGTCTCATAAGTAGGTGCACAGATTAAGTGTTGTGTATATATCTGGGGTCACTTGATGAAAACACTCTTAAGTACCCCCTTATAGCTAAACGATTATTTGAGGACATATTATCTAAGTACTGATTTAGAAATGTATTGGTCAAATATGTGCATAAGTGTTTATGAATACAAATGGGTAAAATAAATAGATGATCATGGGTGTATATATGTGTATCGATGTGAATATATATGTGTAAGTGTAATTACGTGTGTATATAGAAAAATGTAGGTATGGGGATTTGTGTAAGATCTCCGATTTCTCTCTTCTGTTCTCTGTCTCTCCCTCTATTCCTTTCTCTTGTCAGGTGAATGAGAGGTCAGCGTCACAACCATTGTATTTCCTAGAGACATATAACCCCCGTTTCGTACTCTATGTAACTATCTTAAAGCACAACTTCCGCTAATCTTTTTTTCATTTTGCTTTTCGGCTGATTCCTGGAAGAATTTTTGAATCTACTCATTCTTTTGAGGCCGCAAAACCAAATTTTATTATTATTTTAATATAAAATATTACCATTGCTTTCTGAAGTCTCTAATTTGTTAATTATTACTTGCTCTGTTTACTATATTGAGCTCTCGGGATTTATATCCTCCCTGGAATTATATATATATATATACACACACACACACACACACACACACACACACACACACACAAAGTTGCAACGCCTTCAATATGTTTACTCAAGATTAAATATATTATTAATATTGCTGGGTTTCAATGGATGTGCAGGTTCCAAAATAATGGGCACATTAACAGTATTTGGATCTCATTAATACAGTGTATGCACTTTTTGAGCTTTAACACAGACCTATACATTCATGCATACAACTATACAGATCACACTGGACAGTTTAGCACACTGAGCCATATCGTGTCATGTATCACTGTGTAAAGGCCAGGTGCAAGCAGTGGCACTGGTATGAAAATTACAAAATGGCCTAAAACTTGTCAAATTTTATCAAAATATTTCTTAACCATTAGCATATGTATGCTGAACCCAAGTCAAAATAGCCATCATCATTAAAGGTATTTGAATTTTATTGACTCAGTATACATATGTACACATACATACATGCCATATAAATTTAATTTGGGAAGCACTCAATTTTGTTAAACTATATTTTCAAGCTATAATTGAAGAAATTCAGTCATATTTTAATGTTATCAAGAAAAATATGAAATTGTGTGTACGAGATATATATATATATTTCTAAAATATTATTGGATTTTATTTTAATCCAACATTTTTATTACTTCAAACGTTATAATGGATAAAGAAAATGTGCTTTCTGACAAGGATCGAACCTGCATCTCCCTTTTGTAAGGGAAACCACCATTTGATCTGGTGTTCTTTACCATTTGGCTATAAAGAACGACGCAGTTTAGCAAAGTTCTTTTGAGATATATATATATATATATATATATATATATATATATATATATATATTTTTGTTTGGTTCTGCATTATTATTTTTGTTTTCTATTTTAAACATTTATTTTTGCTCAGATTAAAAAATTAAGCAAAAATTTAATATTGTCTTTTGTTCTTGTTTTTTTTTTTTTTCTTTTTGTTATAGCTCGGTGGTGGCAGCAACGAACTAGTTAAAGAAGCTTCTGTTCTTCCCTGCTGTCAAGTGGATAAGACATTGTCATAACCATTGTGGATATCATTTCATTTATCAAATTTTTTGCTTCAGTTGATCACCTCAGTCGCCGTAAATCAGAATGCAAAAAGGCCAAATTATTGTTGACAGATTAGGTGTTAAATTAACAAAACAAATTTTGTATCATTAAGATTTTTCAAGGCTACTTTCTTTATCTACATGATGATTTTTTTTTTTTTTATTTTTTTTTTTTAACCCATGTCAGCGATAAGTACCATTTAAAATTGTTTGTGTTCATTCAATGACAACAAGCCATGATCATTTAAAACTGCAAATAGAAAAATTTATAAAGCCCATGTGAAATATGTTTTTTAATAGTGTAAACTTTTATTAAACTGCTCAAAACTGTCATAGGAAAAAAAAAAAAAAAAAAGACTTTATCACATTTTTCAAATACAATGCAAATGCGTGTATTTTTATTTTTAAATAAAATTATGTAAACATGTTCTATCATAAACATTTTGTAGGATGCAGATTTTCCAGTTAATTATCCTACATCTTAGCTTTATTTGAATAGTTTTATACTCTGTTCCTTCAGTATAAAATCAAGACTGTGGGTCATAGTAATACTTTGAGCATGCTAGTAACAGGAGTTGCTCAGTTTGAATCCAGTCAATTATAGTTTGAGATACTTATTTCCTATAATTATAATTTCTGTGGAAATAACTCGCAAATCCAAATTTTACTCTTGAAACAAGATGAAAAAATAAGATATTTTTAATAGCTATTTTAACTCTTTACATCTGTTATCCACTTGTCTCCATTTTATTATATATATTTTATAAAACTAGTATAAAAGAAGAAAATCATCTAGTATAAGTTTTGCTAGAAGTCTTATATTTCTCTCCATGAATACGAAGTCATGAAAACTTTTTTATGAATTTTTATGCATTTATTACTCCAGCATTTTCTCGTGTAACCTTTTTTTTTTTTTTTTTTTTTTAATTCTGAAAAAATTTTCCATTTTAAATATGTATATAAAAACTTGATCCTGCTATTTTTCTCAAAGGACATTGTGCTTGACATATTTCTCGAATTTAAAAGATTGTCATACAAAATCTTAACTAATGAAAGTGTATTGAGTTTAAAAACATTTTGTTTGTCACAATTTTAACAAGACAGATCTGAAACCTTTAACTTGTAAATCATTGTCTTCTAATGTTAGGTTATTGGTGTACTACTGAGATATTAAGTGAACTGGTCATTAAAAAAAGTTTGTATAATGGCAGTGAGGGGCTGATTGATGAAATACACACTAAGTAATTTCTCTTGATTGCCAGATTTTAATTTTTTTTCATGCTATGAAGACAAATATAAAGGAAAGAGAATAGTGTATTTTGACATAAATAATTGAATAATAAAACCATATATTTTCAATTTTTAACACACTAAATTTTATTCAGTAAATCATTATTCACATTGAAAATGACAAGGATGAAGGAGGTAATTTTTCATTTATGATTTAAAGAATAATATTGGGCATTTAATGTTGTTTTGGCCCTTCAAATAAAAATGTATATGATTAATTATTGGATTTGAGATAAGCTTACAAACAAGCTTCCTGAGCCTGAATATATTACTGAATGAAATGTTATAAATTTTATGTGAAATGTACACACAAGTTTGCCTAAATGGAAAATATTTGTATTGGTTTCTCTAGTTTTAACATTGTGATTTACTCATGAAATCAAATGTTTACTATAAATTTGTTTAAATTTTAATATTTTCCCAGTTTAACTTCTTTTGAAATTAAATGTTACCTGAAGAATAGGCCAATAGGTCATAAAACCAAGCCCCCCCCCCAGTATTGCTTTATACCATTTTCTGGCATATAATTTTAAATGCTAAATGAAATATTCAAGTTGGAGGGTGGTATGGCTTTAAAATTTGCAGTATATACATCACTTTATCAAAAGTTAATTTTGAAAATGCATTTTTTTAGTAAAATTTATGTGTAGTCTGATTATAGACATTTTTTTTCTTCCCCTCGTTGCTGATTTTGCATAATTTAAATAGAATGAACTATATTTATGGTCTAAAAGTGTTGCACTTACATTTTTCTTGAATGTTGATAGTGTTAATTTTTCTGGTATTCTAATCAAAATTATTTTCTTTCTTCACCTTTTTATAATATCATTGATACAGAAGTGATGACTCACAAGATGCACAATACAATTAGTTGCCAGAAAAACTGCACAAGCAGTTTCAGCCAACTGATAATAATTTTCATTTAATGTCTCTTAGTTCGTCATCTGTCAGTGAACTAAAACTCTGTCTCTCTCAATGTTTATTTTTGAATATCTATCGTGGAACAGTAGTTAAGCAGATTACTAGCCATTGCTAGTAAGTATGTCAAGTACTCACGATTGTAGTCAGACTAAATTAAACTTGGTAAAATATTTTGTTCTGATTTGAATAAAAACTGGCTGAACTGCTCACATTTTTTTGTACATAAAATATATTTGTATGAACTGCCACTTGTGATAAATAATTCACTCTTTGTTGGATGCTCTGCAAACACTCTAGACTTGGCAAGATTTTGTTTGGGTAAATTACTGAAATTAGCATGGCATATTCATTAAAATTTTATATTGTAATACCTAAACTGTACTTAATGTATCTTACTGATAATGACCGGTTACTAACCTAGTAATTGTCATAAATTGATACATATGAAATATTTTATTTGATATTGAGAAATACTGTTAGAATCATCACATGTCCAATTTTTTAAATGTTCTAATTCCACATCTTGCATGAGGATGTCAAACTAATTCATAAACAGCTGAAAGAAAGAGTCTGTCTCATTGAAGAAATAGAAAAAAGCAGTGATCAAAGATGTGTGAAAGTATGAGGGGGGGGAAGATTAGTATTAAAGGCATAAATCTAAAGACAAAAATACTTAAAAATAGTTACTGTTTATCAAATAGAAATTAATCAATTGGAATTCTATTAAGAATTTGGTATGATAGAGCTTTGCAACTCAATTTCTGGAACTAATAGGGCAGCAGATTGCTTTTAGCAAAGTTTGACTATTAATCTAGTACTAAATTGGACCATTACTTTGTGTCCAAATTGTCTGAACTGAATATTTTTGTTTAACTGTATAAAATACATGTCACTGAAAATTTTGTAGCCAGAAACAGTTGTGAACTGTTCTTTCTTTTCAAATAAGGTATGATTCGCTAAATAGTTTAAATTCATCTTTTATCAGAACTTTTTAATTAGGACTTTCAAAGGAATGAGGTTACAATCATAAGTGTGAAGTAGTTGTATAAGAAGCAAAAGATGGGATTTCATTCATCTAAAAAATTAGGTAAATTGAGTGGAATATCTTGAATATAGCTTAGTAACTTTTTTTTTTTTCCTCCCAGGGATGTGTATGAATATGTTTAATTTTTTTACTAGTTTATTTTTCATTTTAGTTTTTTAGGCTCAGGTCATAAAATCTACAACTGTAAAGCGTAGATCAAAAAATGTGTACTTTCCAATAAGGTTATTATTTCCAGTTTATAGTACTTGCTTAATTGTAGAATATAAAATGACCGTTGTAATACAGTGTAAAACTAATGATGAAAAAAATGTTTAATCTAAGAAATTCAGATATTAGTTTGACATTGACTACCGTTTATGATGTGGCTTGCAGATGTTCAGTTAGTTGCTTTGCAATATGAAATAAAATTGGTTGCTTCAGTTTTGATAAGCATTTGATAGTCTATCCATCAAAAGATAAAAGAAAGTAGTTTAAGCAAAACATAATTGTTAAAAAAAATGTTTACAGGTCTGTATTATAATGGATAAAAAAAAAAAAAATCTCATTACTTAAAATGCATTCAGTTTAATGTTTGCCTTTTGAAAATTATGAAATTTTTGATTCTTGGGTTAAGATTTTTATAGAAAGCTTTTTTTTTTTATCCCAATCACTGAACATTGTTAAAATCATATCCTGTTCTCAGATAATCTTGTAATTAGTCTATTATTAAAACAGTGACATCATATTTCAATGTTTTTTTTTTCTTTTTTTTGCTGTTGTTTCTTTTTAATCTATGTATATAGAAATTAGTATTTTTCTTCCCCATTTCCTTTCTTTAAACATTTTTGAGATCAGTAATACATGTGCACTAAATTAAATAACTGTAACTCATATTTCTCTACATTGGTTTTAAAAAAAATTTTGTATAATCATCTTCACAATCTGCTTGTTACTTTTTTATTTTATACTTCCTGTTTTATCTTGACCTGCAAGAGCTCATTCATTCTTTGTACATTTTTTTCTATTTCCCACCTCTACACTCCCAAACACAGGCATTCAACAACTGTCATACTGTCCAACACTTACTTGCAAAAGGTCTTTATATTTTTCTCCTAAGATTTTATTTCATTTAGGTATCTTGGAAACTGTATTGTGATTGAAATAAATGTATACTAATATTTTATTTTTTTTTTTTTTTTTTTTTTGTCATCCTCATTGTCCATTAAGCAGCTTCATTTAAAAGCAAAAGAAATGAGCCTTCTTATGTTCCCCCAACTAATGGATAATATAAAATTCATAAATTATAGTACTACTCTTTAATTAGTGAAAATCAAACTACATTTAAAACTTAAAATTAGCTTTACTTCTACTAATTCCTAATTAGCAAGAATCGTAGGTTAAATGATTTTCAAACAGTTTAGAATTATTCATCTTTTGTTTTGTGTAATAAAGTGTGGAAATGTTCATAATGGATGAAAAGATTAATAATTTGTACATGAAATACATTTATTTTGTTAAAATTATATCTGAATTCTCCCCCCCCCCCCAAAGGCTATTTCATGCAGTAATTATTAATCTTTTTTGGATTTTTATCAATGATTCTAAATTTAGCATACAAGAATATTACCAGGGTGAGTATGAATATTGACCTTTTTAAGTTCAAAATGGACTGAAAATTGTGTTATTCTTTCATTTAGGGTATTTTGACAGAATAACCTACCAAATATACCTACCTATGAATAGAAATTGGATGTGAGTAGGAAGTCACATTTATAGCATATGTTTAATAAGCTTTTACTAGTCAGTTCACATTTTTTAAACTTCAATTTAAACATTAAAGTTTCAAACATTCTGTAGTTTAAAAAAAAAAAATCAGATGGGGAGCAATAAGTGAAAAATATTAGTTAATGATAGTTTTCAAAAATTTGCTCCACAAAACCAATTATTAAATGATATACTTAGGTGAGTGTTTTTAATTTTAGAAGAATGATGAAACCAAAATGTTATTGGAGAGTTGGATTTCAATAGATGTCCAGTTTGTGTACTTATAAAAACCAATATAACTACTTTTAGCAGTCAACAAACTCATAAGATTTGAGATTATTATAAACACTAGCTAAGCATTTTACTCTCAAAATCTTAACTTTTGTAATTGCTTTAGTTATTGTTGATTTATTTTGTGTAGAATAAGATTCATATTGACTAGGATAAACCATTTCGATTTCTCTCTTGAAATTTGAGGTAAGCACAATCGAGCATTTGAAAAGGTTCTATGCTTTTGGGGTTTTTTTGGTGTGGAGTCCTCTCTGGTCGAAATAATTTTACTTTAAAAAAAAAAAAAAAAGTTTCTACATTAAAAATTTATAAAGTACTTTGCAAAATTATTACATCATTAGGAAGATTTCTGCCTTAAACAACTGTAGGAATAATGTGAATTTTTACTGAAAAATAACTATTAACTTCTATAATCAAATATGAACCAATGTTAAGTAGGAATCATTAAACCTAAAATTTACAAAACATACACAACAAATAAAATTACATTGTAAATTTTATGTTAAATCATGAAAAATATCACATTGATGAGATGATTTATAAAAATCAACATTTCTTTGTATTCATTATAATTAAATTAAAATAGTTTTAATATGAATTGCTATCTATAACATTCAAATTATGAAAAAAAGAGAAATTTCTCTTTAACTTAAACCTGAACAAAGTTTTAATGTTCTGTTAAACTTATATTATCACATTTTGTGGAACCATATATCTCATTCATGAGTTTTTGTCTTTTAAATAAAGCAATGTCTTTTTCAATGGATATTACTTCCATTCTTGCTTGGTGTTCCTCAGCCAGATATTGCATCTTTTGTTGGTGTTCTAACCTGTGAAAGTCTAATATCTGTTCTTCCAAGCATCTGTTGTCTTCAATAATGTTATCTGTCATAAAGTTCATGTTGTTTATATTGTTTATACTGACTCCACCACCACCACCATCAGGAAGATATTCATAATTTAAAGGTTGGTGAAAATCAGCAAGGTTTTGTTGTCCATCTTGAGAAAACTCTGGTAGATTGTCCTGGTTATGAAAGTTTGGTATATTTTCTGTGTTCTGAAACTCTAAAGGCGGTTCTTTTATTGGAGGTTCAATTATTTGTACACCATTGTTATCTTGTTGCGTAAGTGTATTAATATTGTCCTCTAGTAAATCTGGTTGTCGATCAAACTAAAACAATGAAAAATGAATAATTAGACAATACTGCTTAAAGAATAAAAGCAAAAGACTACATAGATACATTACTGGCCACTTATACTGATTATATTTATTCATAGCATTGATTTGAATTGTAAATAGATAATGGCAAATAATTGATTTGCATGCATATGTATTTACACACCTAGACAAACAATTTCCACATACTCTTGTTGCTAACCAAAGTGTTAGATTTAATATTTTGAAACCAACAGATATTCTAGGCTGAAAATAAATACCTGTCAATGTTAAATCATTTGTAACAATTTTATGGGCAGTAAATTAGTCTTTGGGTAAAAAAGTAAAGTGATAATTGTTTCTTCCTTTATAATTAATGAATTTTTTCATAACCATAATAATAAATATATATATATATATATATATATATATATATAATATATATTTGTTCGTTCAAGTTCTGTAACAAAAATTTTTTTTTTTTTAAATCATGACTGTTGATTTCATTAAATTAAAAATGATTAGATTGGCATTGTGACCAGTTTTTACCAGATAAAATGTTAATGTCCACAATTTGAGCCAGTAGTCTCAACTGTTATCATACTATGATATATCATTTTAAAAACATTTGTAGAGGCTAGTAGCAAAGCACAGATCTAGAAGCTACTTTGTATGAAGTGCTATTCTCTATTGAGTTAACAGGGTTCATTATTACAAATAGACAATTTTCTTGGAGGTATTAAAAATGTAAATACTAGTAATTAAGGACAGAAATATTAATGATTACAGATAAAAAAAAAAAAAAAATCTGTAAAACTTACAATTTTGGATTCCTAAGTTTTCATTACTGCGATTGTTTTCAGTAATTTTTTTTTTTTTTTTGTATGATGACAATTTTTATAATTTAAGAATAATCAATTAAATTGCAAGAGTGACCCATGAAATAAAAATAATTGTTTGTAAGGGAAGTAAGGACCTACATCAAATTGTCTTTAAATTAATGGTGGCAAAAGAATTAGCGTTGAACTAAAAGGTAAGTTTAATGCAATACTTCAATGCAGTGATCAAATTTGAGTTCTCTAATTTATTGTTGCCTATCACATCTACTCTTCCCTACTTCTTGTGATAAAGAGCCCTCCACAGGAGCTAGCTTAAATGCTGCCTGATAGGGCAGCTTTTAAACTAGTTAAATAAATCTCAAGTTACAGTAAAATATAGAAACAATATATAAAATCACAAGTGTATAATTGTTTTTGAAGTAAATAGTAAGTCTATCTTTGTAAACATAAAAATCAGTAACATTGGTAGTATCAGAGGTTTACATTAAAACTTAGAAATGACATTCTAAACTTGTATTAATAATCCATCTCCCTGCCCCAATATTTTAAACTGAACAATTTTGTGAAATATACCAGTCAGATATTTACAGCAAATCTTAAGTATACTGAGGAATAAAATTTCCATGAATAGCAGAATTTATTTTCACATCAAATTTGGCAGACCCCCCCCCCACACACACACACACACAGTAAAAATTTTTGTGTGTCTTATATGAAAAGAATAAATCTTGTCTAAATTCTGAGAGGAGGAATATATATTCCAGGGATTGCTCATATCCTTATTGTGTTTTGGTCAAAGAACGATTGATAACGTAGTTATTGCACCAGCTAGAAGATCGAACAATTTCTGGAACAAGAATATAGCTTTAAAATTCACAAGAGTCCAGAGATTACTTACCAATGCTTCTTGCATCAACAAATCCGTGTTTTTTTTTCTTGGTGAAGAAATATGATGATTTAATTGTTGTTTTAAAGGTCGTTCATTTCGAGGTGAAGATGAAAACACGGGTTTATTCTTTATACTTTTTCGAGGGAGTTTGAGAACTTTTGATTGGCACTGATTTTAAAAAAAAAAAAAAAACAAGTTGTATTTGATAGCATTTTCAATTATCAAGCAACTAATTAAGCTTAATAGTGTCAGAAATTGATTGAAATAAAACTAAATATTAAGAGATGTAGTGACTAACAAAATGATAATTTTAATAAGTCTAAAAATTTCAATATACTGAATATATTATATTTGCCTTAAATGAATAAATCCAAATGAATATTTTTTTTATCAACATTATGTAAAGTTTATTAATTTTACAAGGGTAGCATTTTGGCAATATACATGTCACTAATATGCATTGATGATTAATACATAAAAATAGCTGTTTTATTTAATACAGTATAGCTGATACTCAGTCTTCACACTTGAGAAATTAATAAAGAATGCCTTAATATCAAAGATAAAACATACATTGAGTTTCTCAGTGCATTTTTCTAATTTGAAACCAGTGTAGTGTTTTATTTACATGGAATTTGCCCATAGAATGCCAACCTAAAATTTATTTAATTATCATGAGCAAGTGGAACCTATTTTGACAAAATCTCTTTTCAATTGTTATTTTTGTTTAATAATCCATATTGTTTCTTTCTTTTATAGATTGTTAATGATATTGTACACAAATGGATAAAAAAAATATTTTAGAATTCTTTGTCATAAACAGTTCAACATTGTGGCTTTTCTTATTTATTGAAATAATTCAGTTTGAAAATGATTTGAAAAATGAAATTGAAAACTAAAATTTTTTTTTTTTTTTCATCTCTCGTACTAATTGATGCTGAGTAGGTAATCTTACTGCAAACTTAAAAAAAAGTTCAAATCAAGTGATATAACTAATAAAGACAAAAAAAGTACACACCTTTCGTTCTCTTAGTTTCTTTACTGGGGGTACCCAGAAATCTTCTGGTTCAATGTGAGAACCTATTGACTTCACTTCCCAAGTTCCTATCCGGTCAGAATGCATTGTGAGCAAAACTTTAAATGAACAACGATGACCCATTTTTGCTCTTTCATTTTTCTTTGGACAATCTAAAAACAGAAAAACTTAAAATAATATAATAAAGTTTAGAAGTTTTAATTCTAAGCTGATGGATTAATATTTCCAATAAGCAAAATACTTATGGTGTATTTCAAACCAAATTTAAACTAAGGGAATTTTTTTTTTTTTTTTCTTCTCCTTATCAATAACAAAATCTATAAAGTTCATATTGAAAGTTTAATTAATCTGAATTTCAGTTTAAAATATTGCAGAAAAGCATTTCTTGTTTTTTGATTAAGGATTTAAAAAAAAAAGGAAAATATACATCAAAATATTTTCTTAAGATAATAGTGTTCATATAATCATTCAATAATCATTATTTCATTAGAAAAGTTTTTAATTGCCATAAAACTAAAACATTATTCAATAATGTCTTAGTTTTATTGCATCTTTATTTTACAATTTAGAGCAAATTTTCTGTAACTGAGGGTCCTGTTTGACCAAAGAAATTTAATTTAAATTAGGTACCTCAACAGAAAACGCAATATCTAAGGTTTAAAATTAATTTTTAAGAATGACAAATCTTTCTTTAAGCTTTTATTTCAAGCTAATATATTAAATTTAATATTTCCAATAAGCAAAATATTTTGCTGTATTTCAAAATTAATTTAAATTGATTGGAAGGATTTTTTTTTTTTACTAAAATAGCTGATTAGCACCATTTTTTTTTTTTTTTTTTTTTTCATTGCAATGTAATTCATTATATTAAAAAAAAAAAACTTCCAAAAATAAAATATACTTTTCTGAACTTTATTTGACGAATATTAGCGGATTTAAAGTTTAATTAATCTGGTTTGAAACTTTACTTGAAGTATGCATAAAGTGGTGACAGCTTGACTGACAAAGGGAAGTTTAATGTTTTTCTATGGTATTTATCTGTAAAAAATAATTGAATATAATATGAGCGCCTTTATATAATTTTTCAAGTACTCAGTAATCATAAAAATTTATGAAAATATTTTCTGTAATCTGTTTTATTGAATTTTAGATATTTTGTTTTTTTATTTACTATAGTTATCGCCCTTATTTTCTGATGTATCTACAAAAATCGGCACGTTTATATACACTTACTACAAAAAAAATTCAAAATTCTTTAAGATTATTGCTGTTTGATGAATTGTACTAAGCTTTTTCAATTTATTAGTAAATATAGTTTTTAATTTGACAATATGACCTACAAAAGGTCAGTAATACAGAAATTTAAAAGATTTAAAACTATTCTAATTAAACTTTTTAAAAATGAATAATTGTAAAAATTCATTATTAATGAATTTAACTAATATAAATATTAAGGGGGACAGAATTTCATAAATTACAGAATGAAAAAAAAAATTCACAAATTAAGTAACACAAAAAAATATTTTTACCAAGATTTAAAAAAAAAAAAATAAAATAAAATGATTTCATTCATTTGTGAATAAGGCCTGGTATCATTTAAAATCCGACACATGAATAAAAAAAAAAAAAAAATTATTTTTTTTTACAAAGATTTTCCTAAAAAGAAATATTTAAAAAAATAAATTATTTTCTGAATAAATCCTGATGAAATATTCATTTAAAATCGGATAATTATTATTTTTGCAAGAATTTCCCGTACAAATTTATGGTCCCGCATTAACGCAAAAAAAAAAAACATGATTTTGATGATTGTTTGGGACATTTTTTCATCATGTATCCTAGTATCCACTTTTTAGCGAATTTCTGGAGGTACCTACCTACATGTTGTATGCTCGATGTCATATACAGAGAGATTTTTTTTTATATCATCATTCTATTGATCCACTTGTAATCATCAAAAAATACATTAAATATAATATTGGATTTGTTTTCTTCTAACTAAAATAAATTAACTAGAACTAGCCCAACGCCAATGTGTTTTTTTAAATTAAAGAATATTGCAGTTATCTTAGATCATATCTTTACAAGTTTTAAAGAAGTGTTTCGTTTTCACTTTCACAGATAATAACGAAAATAGTAAGTTAAAAAAACTGCTTAAGCAAGTATTTTAAATTCCGATTTTCAAGATACTGAGTTAAATTACCTCTGTGATGGTTGACTTGCTGTTGTAAATTTTCAAAGTGCCAAACTAAATGGCTTGGAGAGGAACAAGATTCTTTTACTGGGCTGCAGTCCTTATTTTAAATGTCTGTGTACGGTGTTTATTTAAAAAAAAAAAAAAAAAAAAAAAGGATTCAGCTAGAGGGTAGAGACCCTGAAGCTTGGAAGAAATTTTGTGTTAAAAAAGATATTCTGCTAGAATTTTAACAAAAAAAATCGTGAAAATTCTTTTTCAGGCCTAAAGCTGTATACCTCCCGCTGGAATTGAATTCAGTCGGAATGTAATTTACAAAAAAAAAAAAACATTTTTTTTTTGTTTGTTGATTCAGTGCTTGAATCAGATACATCATAGCGATGATGTTAAACTCAACCTAATGAATTTTAAGAACACTTTAGTTTCCTACCAAATTCTTCAGAAAATTGTCTGAGAAACGAACAGCTAAAAATCTACATGAAACTTGCTTAAAAACATACGATCAAATAATATCCTCATTTTTTTTTTTTTCAATTAAAAGAAAGCTTTGAGATCTAATTAAATACAATTCATCCATTAGTCAACAAAAACATTTTGAAACCGATTCTTGTATGTTACCACAAAAAAACACTCACTCACCTTGCTGATTCTATCGTGATTTTTAAAAAAAATAACTTTCCCTTGTTTACTTGAGGAAGGTTGGCTGGGTTTTTATATCTTTCCTTAAACTAAGAATCTGGTAATTTATTTCACGCACCCCATCATAGAGGGGCAATAAACAGTATCACTTATTTACGAATCTGGAGTCCAGACGGACAGACAGTGTGATGCTTCGCATCCACATCGGAGCATGTTAAGAATAGTTAGGTATTTTGATTACCTTATTTAAAATACGATATCGTTTAATCTGAAAAATAAATTGTATATAAAAAAAATCTAAGACCAACCTGGAATGCAGGCTCCAATACCTCCACATTTGCGTCGACAATTGCCTTCTCCATTGCACAACAAATCTTCCTTGACGACAATGCATCGCCTTGATGGGGTAACAGCGAAAACAGGGTGGAAAATGTCTGTTAAAAAACCGTTCGGCCCTTCTTCAATTCCAACAAGATCTTTTCTCATAATCTCTCGACCTTTCCTAATCATTACCGCGCGGGCGAAATTCGGCTTACTGGCCAAAAATTCCACTAATTTCTCCTGTCGTACTGTTTCCAACTCGCATCGGACTAAACTTAGAATTTTATTGAATTTGTCGTTTTCGGTCTGTGATGGTTGCTCATTCATTTTTTTTTTTTTTTTTACTTTGTTTTTCTTTTTATTTTTAAGTTATGTGTGGCTATTTAATTTTTTTTAGCCGTACCTTACCTTTTACTTTGCAAAATAAAGGTCATAGTAGTCGACTACATGATATCTAATACCAGCTACTTAAAACATCAACTTTCTCTTTCATGTTTTTTTAAGTTATTTGCGAGAAAATCAAAATAAACTAAACAAAGATCTTTTTTTTTAAAGATGAAGTCATTGTTAGTATCAAAAAGCAAATACCTCATTCACTGTTTTATAAATAATTTAGAGTATTTTCAGTACCAAGATAAACGTAATAATTTGAAAATTATTAAAATCGAAATGTGGTATTTTTGTTGTTTTCTGTGTAGAAACAAACACTTTTCACTCTCGTCACTACGTGGCGCTATCTGTTGATTTTTTTTTTTTTTTTCGGTGGAGCGAGCGAGGTGAGGTGGGGTGGGGTTGCCTGTGCGTGTAGCGCCTCGCAGCGGCTATCGAATGAATTAAACTTCGTTTTGGGTTCAGGGATAATGCGGGAAAACCGATTTTTCCTGTAACAAATATTGATTGTTATTTCCAACAAATATTCGTAAGGTTTATTTAAGCACTTAAGAATACCAGCTTTATATTTCAAAATATTTGTGTTTGATCACCGTGGACAATTACAACCAGGTTTGTTTTACTTTTACAAATTTGTTTAAATTCAAAACATTTAAACAACATTGTGCATTTTAAACACAAAAAAAAAATAGTTGTTGACATGACGCACGGATTACATAACGTCTTTTCTTTTAATTTTTTAACATAAGATTCACTTAAAGTATTTACAGGGCCTCCCCACTAAGGTAGGGTGTCAAATTTATTGAATTTGTATATATCGGAGATTGCCGTCAGTTTTATTTTTAAAAAAATTGTGATTATTTTGGTTTGCTTCTTTAATTAATAATACTGAATCTAAAAGTTATTAAAAGTATTTGATTTTTCACTTTAATTTTTATTAAACAGTTATTATAGAATAGTTTAATAATCACACTAAAACTTTTTAAAAGAAAATTTGTTTTTCCGACAAAAATTAAATTCAGAATTGAAATGTTTCAAATATTTTATTTTTAATTTTACTTCTTTTTCATTCTTACGGTGGTGTTCGGACATTTGATTGTAGCTTCTGCAATGCATTATTAAACAAACTACTAATTTTTTATTTTAAATTATGTGCATTAAAAGTTTTTATAGAAACTCCCGTTTTCTTAGCCCGTTTGTAAACTGAAAGTTCAACAGCGTCTGACTGAAGGCTTGCTTCTTAAAAAACATTCGGTTAAAGAAACTTTTAAAAAATTTAAATTATAATTTGTTTGTTCCGTTTTATTTGACATTTCCTTGAGAAGAGACTCACAAAGAGAGTAAATTTTGGTAATAGATAATTTTATTTATTTATTTTTTCTATCACTAACAAATCTGTGGTTTGGTCGCGGGCCGGGATTGTCACGTGGCTTGTATCCGATCTTATTGTCACTCACTTCAAATTGTCAAAAGCAATCATTTTAATGAAATACTGTTGTTTAAAAAAATTGTTAAAGGTATGTTTCTTAAGGGAATAAAATTTTATATTTATTTATTTTGATAAAAAGTTTCTTTCTGTGGACACTGGTAATACTGCTATTTATTTTGACTGAAAAAGCACAGACTAACTGCGATCTATTTCCAAATAATAGATACTGAAAAGAAAATAGTAAATAAACCTTTGAGTTACAATTCTAAAACATGGTGCGAATGCAGTGCGGTGCTCGGGAAAAGGAAAATAATTAAGAAAATATAAAGTAAAGAAAATTTAAATAAAAACATAATCCCAAAAACTGACTGAGAAAAAAAAAGTTTTCAGTATCATATTCACGTGCACAGCTTCACTATTTATTGATTCTGCTGTGGTAAACTTTTTTTTTTTCTTTTTTTTTTTTTTATAATAAAAAAAGAAATTTTGTCAGTTCTAATAAAATACAGCTCAAATTTAGGCGAACAATGATTACTTCTTTTAAATCTGAATAAGTTAAAAAAGGCGTTGTTGGGTAATGAAAAAAAAACTCATGACAAGATACTTTCATACAGTTTCTTTGTATTGCAGTTGCACTCAATTTGTCGATCAATTCGTTAATCTTTCGTAATTTCTATTTTACAATTCTATGACTTATTCTCTAGATTTTTTTTAGTACACGTGGGTACTTTAATACTACTTAGTTTAATAAAAAAAAAATCCTGAGTGTTTATCTTTTTCGTCTTAAATGCAAAATGTTACTAACAGAACTTCAAAAAATTATATCCTAAAAAATACCTTTTTGTTTAACTTGAAGTGCTCGTTTATGACTTAAAGACTCAATTTCGATTATTCTTGTACATTTTTTTTTTTTTTTTTTTAGCTTACGGTATTTCTGATTTCAGAAATCTTTATAAAATATGCATTTCAAATAAAAAAAAAAATGAATATACATTTTATTTTTCGTGCTTTATGAAAAAAAATAAATTATATTACATTTCGGACGATATTTTTCATTTAATTTCTGATGCATGAATTTTCAAATAGAAAGGGTCTGATAGTTGGTCTAAACTTTTACATTTTTTTTTTACTTTTATTTTACAATTTCTGAGACTTGTAACAGATGTTGAATTGTATACTCATTTCAGTTTTTAGTAATGGAAAATGAAAAATAATTTTAAATAAATTATTACATTTCGCAGTTTCGGGCGCTGTAAAAACAAATCCATATGAGATCAGTTTAAAAAGGGGGAGTTATGTAAGGGAGGTAATTCAGTGTAATATCTCTAGGGTTGATGTTTTTTTTTTATAACTTTAAAATTGAAGAATAAAAAAGGCCTTAACATTTCATGATCATCCATATTATTATGTAACATTAACTTTTAAACTACTTTTACTGACATTTAAACTTAACATTTGCAGATGTTAAATGTTTCAGCAAACTTTGTTGAAATTTGTCTTTATAATTAATTTAGTAATTACTTTGCTTAAAAAGAAAAGAAAAGTTGTTACTGTTTTATCATAATCTTTTAAAATTGTTTAAAGGAGACAATTGGTACAAAAGTGTTTTTTCTATTCAACCAAACCAGTTATAGATAAATATTAAAATTAAATGTATTCATTTTTGAAAATTCAAAAACGGTCTCTGTGCTGTACAGATTTTATTTTTAATTTGAAAAATACTCTGGGGGTATTTCAAACTGAAATTATATTGATTGGAATCTTTTTTTCCTTTTTTTAGGAATATTAGCTGATTTAAAGTATAATTAATCTTATTTGAAATAAATATTATTTACTTTAAATTTAAAATATTGCAGAAATTAATTTTTTCACCAAACAGTGGCACTGTTTTTACCCAACACTAACAGTAGCTGTGTTTGAAGTGATGACAGATTTAATAATGTTGTTCTATGGAGACTTTATCTGTAAAACATAATTTAAGAAAATTACATAAGTGCCTTTTTCCTATAATTTTTAAGTACTCAGTAATCTTTAAAATTTGGGAAAATATTCTCCATAATCTAATTTTAGCAATGCTGACTTTATTTACTATATAGTCATCACTCTCATTTTTTGATAATGTTGTGTATGGTCAGCCACACTTACAAGAATGGGCATGTTATATGCACATAAAAAAATTAAAAATTCTTTAATAAATCTTGGTGTTTGATGATTGGTATTAAGCTTTTCCATTTATGATTAGTAAATATAGATTACACTTTATAATATAACCTAAAGGGCAGATTTAATACTTTATAAATTATCATAATTAAATTTTTAAAAAAGGAAAAAACACTTGGAAAAATTCATTATTCATCAAAAAATTATTTTTCTTAAGATAATAGTGTCTTTAATATATCCTATTTATAAAAGCAATTAAGTTTTTCGAATTAAATAATGTCATGGTTTTATTGCACTTTTTATTTTACAATTCAGAGCAGATTTTTGGTAATTGATGTTTCTTTTTGACAAAAACAAATTAATTTAAATTCTCCATTCTGCTTTTAACTAAAATAAATATGAAGAGGCTGATATTTTAAGTTTCTCAAATTTTCATAAAATTAAGTGGGGATAACAGATGAAAAAAAAGAAAAATATTTTTACCAAGATTTTCGAGAAAGAAAAAAAAAATTTAAATAATTTTATTCATTTGTGAATAAGTCCTGAAAATTTAATTAAAATCTAACAGTTACTTGATTTTTGCAGGAATTTCCAAAACAATGTGTTTTATTACACCAAAAAAATGATGCTAAAAATCCCTATACAAATTTGCCTGGTGCAAGAAAAACAAGATTTTTAACCAAAATTTCGAGAAAGATCTGAGGAAGGATTAGAAAAAAATTTAATAAAATAATCAACAAATACTTTGGTCTTTCCTCTTAATAATAACATAATAAAAACCAAATTTTATTGTCAAAATATTTAAGTTTGTGGCCTTTTTCTTTGTGCTATGCTATTTTTTTGCAAAAAAGTGGAGGTACCTATCCAAAGCAATTTCACATAGGCTTGTAAATTTATTTCCATCATAACAAGTCAATTTTTGTGAAATAGAGGATTTCACTAATCCAAAGAAAATTTAAAATAGGCTCACAAGTTCCTTTCTATCTGTTTCATCAGTCCTCCGAATTTGAAGTGGATAAAGGGAGCTATTATTATTTTGCACTCACTACAAAGTAATGTCCTTCTTGTACTGAACTAGAATGTATTATTAAGCAAGCAAGTGTTTCCAAGTAATCTTTTTCTATTAATAAAGAAAGATTGTATATTTCCTGAAATCGTTTTTATACTTTCACACATTTTGAATAAG